GATTAAAAAAACCCTGTAAAAATAAATTTGATTTGAAGTACAAAGTAAAATATAGCCTTTTTAAACTTTTGCAACCAGAAGCTGCTCTTCATATTAGTGACAAACTTTGGTGTTTTTTGATGAGTTACTTTCATTTTTGTTTCTACTTTTCATTTAAAATAAGTTTCCATTCTCAGCAGGTTTCTAAGBTTCTTCTTCTACATATTAAAAAGTTGTTAAACATCTGAGTGGTGCACTACTGCTACTAGTGGTGAGAAAGTGTATTGCACATTATTCAAAGTCAATGTGGTCCCACAGCCCTCTGTGGCCAAAGTTAAAAACTGTTGTTCTTTTGAGGCCCTCAAGGTGGCGCTCACGGCCCAGAATTGGGCCACGGCCCATGTGTTAAGAATCTCTGCTAAAGTGTCCTGGTTGACTCTTGGGTTTGATCCATTGGACCAACACCAGCAGATAACGACCCACAAAGCTTTCACCAGTCCTGTGCCTCTCTACTCATGGTTTTCAAATGAAACACAAAACAGACGTTCCTCTGAAGAGATGACTTTGGACCTGAACAATGGTCCATTCTTTATTGTCCTGAGTCCACAGGTGTTTGTGACAGGATCTCTGCTTCAGGAGTGGAGAGTTGGAGCCCAGGATCAGTCCCCGTGTGACCTTCTGACTCAATCTGTACATTATTACAAGAAAACTCACATCCAGTTCTCTATTAGGTTGTAATAATTCTTGTGTTTTAAATATAAATCAGATTTTCTTCTGAAGGCTTGTGGTTTGTGACCTGACCTTGTTGAAATAAAAACCTGAATGTTAGCCTGGTCAATGAAAATCGGTAAAGCAGCCTTTGGTCTGATGGTCTGAGCTCTCTGTAGGACACCATGAGAACAGCTTTTATTGTCTGTTTCTCTACCTGCTGAATTTAGATCTTTAATCATCAGTTAAACAGCTAAAACCATAAATTTGAGCTGCTGATGGACTTGTGGGTCAAAAGGAAACAGAATAATGTCAAAATAAATGCATGGAAAACACAAAAATAATGCAGGTAACTTTATTAGATTTGAGCTTTATCCTGTTCACATCACACACACTCATCCTGGCAGTGAGCTGTGGAGAACAGAGGGTGGAGAAAGAGGCAAAAGTCTTCATCTATGCTAGGCTAAAGGCTAGTCAAACTAGGACCTGTTTTATTAGGTTTATCATTTAAAAAATAATCTTCAAAAACACACAGGTGTGTAAGAAGCTTCATAATAAACTTATTCTGTTTGTTTAGTTTCTGTTTTCACAACTGAACAACAGGTTTCCTCCTTCTGCTGAGGCAACACCAGGCTGGAGGGTGGGGGGCACTGACCACCCCCGAAGGCCCTTTGGTCAGACCGTTTTATCCTCAGCTGGTCAGGATTAATCACACCTCACAAACATTAAAACAAACATCATATTAATGATTAAATTAAAAGGTTAAGTCTGGTCCCCATGAGGACAGCAGCTGATAACATCAGGATGCAGTAAAACCCTGGAGTTACCTGTCAGAACATCACTTCAAACATAAGCTAAGTGTTAAATGTAAAGAAAATTAGTCTCAACGGTTTCACTTCCTGTTCCTCTTCAGGTAAAGTTGTTTTTTGGGGTTAATAGTGTTAATAATACATTTATTCTTCAGATGCTTTAAAATAACATATTGGACTCTGGAGGTTTTCTAATAGAATTTCAAAATTTGTAAAGTATTAGCAAGAATTTCCCATGAATTCAGAGTTATCTTTATCATTTTTTTATAAATCTTATCTTGTAATTTGTATCTTGTGGTTATTTTCATTGTATAAAGCTTTTGTGTTTTGAATAAAGTCTTATAATGAATTAACTGAGTTTCCTGTAGGTCTTTAGTGCATTCTTTTAATGAAAATCTGTAATTAAAAATAACCAGGAGTGTTTACTTCAGATAACGAGTTATGTTCCTGACGGTTTTCCTCTCCTGCGTCATTCAGTAACCATGGAGACGGCCTGGTTCCCTCAGCTGGTCATCAATGAACTTTACTATCTATCTATCTATCTATCTATCTATCTATCTATCTATCTATCTATCTATCTATCTATCTATCTATCTATCTATCTATCTATCTATCTATC